ATTTTCACGTAATAAGGCTCCTGCCCCTCCATGAATTACTAATGTCGGCCCATGATTCATTTCTTTTTCTTTTTTGCATTGATTTGATTTTAGCTGATTGAATAAATCAATAAAATAAAATAAAATGGGTAATGAGTGGTTGAAATAATAAGAATTCTTTTCCTGGATAGATAATTAAACAAGCCACCTTTTTTTTAAAATTATCATTATTATCATTATCATCACCGTCATTGATTATCTGTTTACTGTCATTATCACTAATATTACTATTGTTTAAATATCTAATGATATCATTAATAATAGTTGAGAATAAATCATTTCCTAAAGTTGTAAAACATCCATAATTTGTTTTCATTTTATAATAAGAAATAAACCTTATCAAAAGATCATCATTTTTTGCTACATATAGATGTATAAAAATAAAAATATTCTTCTTTCTCTTGTTTACTTTCTGATGATTTATTTAATGACATTTTTTCATTGCTTCTTTTAATTTTCTTTTAAAATTTTTAAAAGTTCGGAAAGATAAAGTTGCTGTGGCTCATTGAAGAAAAGGAACTTTTAATATATCTGTCAAAACAAACATTCAAACTAACAATTAATCGATTTATCAATTGCAAAATAAATAACTACGAAAAAATGCAACCAACATTTTTTTATTTGCGATTTCCATTGTTGTAATCACGATTTACGAATTATACAACCGGGGTATATTAACAATGGAGATGATTTATCCCGTTATCCCGGAAAATACAATAATTCATATATCTACACAAAAATATATCTCCAGCTCCGATGCCAGCTCAAACCCCAATTTCGCCCCCAGTTGATCAAACTATATATAAAAAACTCGAAAAAGCAATTTTGACTCTCAACAATGAAATCAATAAAATGCGTACTGAGGCGGAATGGAGAAGTGAAGCCCGAATTGGAGGTTTGTGAAATAATTGCAAATTTAGACGTGTAATTCCTCATATTTTATTTAACCAAACCACGTTTCTTGATTAGGGCAAGCATCTGCACAAATATATCGATCGATCTGAATATTAACGAGAGAAAAAGTTCTCCCACGAAATTATATAATGTCTTATCCGAAGAGGTAGTGGTTAGCCCAGCCACTAGAAATCACCACAACGCACCTCATTAGATAAAATCGAAGCTTGGGTTGAGAGAGAGGGTAAGAAAAAAGATAATTCCATTACAATTAGCAGTAGTAGTATAAATAATTTTTCAAATAGCAATGGTAGAAATATAATTTTAGATGATAATAATGAAAATAATGATAATAATAGCTAGTAATCGTGAGCCTAAAGAATAGGTTGCATAATAAATGGCTTTGGGTCCTGTGCATTCCTCCCATGTAAGCTCGTGGTTAATTATTACTTGTAATGTCATATAAATATACATGTCAATAAAAATGATTTATGCATTATAAATTATATAATATTTATTGATTACATTATCCTTTTACATTTACTATTTGTAGTGAATTCTGATAATTCCCCAACATTTGAGATGATAAGTTTTTGTATTGACATAATTACCACTACCCCATTTACCTTCTATATTATCTCTTATATTTTCTTTTTTATGATCTTTATTACATATATTTATATAGGAAAATATTATTTTGATCAACCACATTTCAACAGTGGTTTATATCTATGATCATACTTCCATGGGACAAGTAATGTTAATAAAATGGAATTTAATATGATATAACAGGATGATATTTCCAGGAACAATTTAAATCACAATTAGAGTTTCTTAACAGTATTTCAAACTTTATTGTATGTGATTTATTAATTTTAAAATGAATAATTATTATACATTAATTAAATTGTATATACATATTTAATAATTCCCTATATTCAAGATTAATAATATAAATAAATTCAACAATTTTTACTAATATCCTATATCTCCAATAGAAAGAGAAAAATAATATATATAGAATCCATAAATTATGTCAAAATTTAAAAAGTTGGTCCATCAGGTGTTATAAATGTCGGAAATAAGTTATCACACCCTACTAGACATGGAGGGGTGGTTGGGATGCTCTTTTTGACAAAATGGCTTCATTTTACAATCTAATACATATATATCCATTTTTTTTTTTGTAAAAATGTATCATTACATATTTCAATTCATCCATCATGTCTTTTAATAACTGATATGAGGCATCGAATCTCTGAGTAAAAAGATATACATTGTTCCATGTGTCTTTTGAAAATTTTCCAAGTCTTAATTCATCTTCCCAATAATGGTTCCAATCAAGTGAATATGGTCCATTGCTTATTTTGCAAAACATGAACTCCCATTTGTAATTAGGAGATCTAAAACTCGTGGATGCCATTAAATTGAGACAATGTTTTGGTCCAGACTGTCCTCCGTTCCGATTTTGAGTGGATTCAGGTGGTCCTTATTATTTGATAAATCAACAGAAAAAAAAATCAACATTAAAGTTTTTATTTAATAAAAATTCACAATGAAAAAATAATAATAATAACCATTATATTCGATATTGATCCCCTTAATGTTATATAATAGTAAATCACAAAT